AATAGGTGTCTGCTTCTGATATCCCTGCAAATTCCCATACAGGAAGCAGGGCAGCAGGAGCCAGAGGTGCAGCGCCTGCGAGACGGACACCGGGAGGGAGGCGCGGCGTGGTTGCGGACCGAGTTGGAGGCCAAGAACTACACCGACTTGCGACGGCTGTGCGCTATGTTGGGGCTGCCGCAGAGGCACGACGGCAGAACCCTTCGGAAGGAGCAGCTGCTGGAATCCATAGTGGACTGCTTCTCATCGCAGGAGGGCTGGAGTAAGGGGATGGGCGTAGAGCGGTGTTGAACTTTGCACGCAAGCTGTTTGTGTTGAAGTAGGTGTTGGCTAGACTCGATAGTGGAAAGCTGCGCTTTGCAGGAAGGGTTGTATTCGGGGATGGGTGTCTGCTTTTGGTATCCATGCAAAGTCCCTGACAGGAACCGGGACATCCGAACGCTCAGGACGGTTTTGTGATTTGCAGCTGTATAGTTCAACTTACTTGAGACTCTGTTTTCTTGCGGTCCAATAGGTGTCTGCTTCTGATATCCCTGCAAGTTGAATGATACCCAAGTTGAATGATACCCAATTTGAATGTATCTGCGCAAGCGTCACTGCGGAGGAACCGGTGACTGCGGAATCACTGCGACGCTTGGCGCAGGAGCTGGGAGACCAAGCACCACCGACCCTCCGAGGTCGTCTGAGGGGTGTGCGTCTGAGGAACGCGGAGCCGTCCTTGGTGGATATAGCTTCGGAGTTGGGCCTACCTTGCGAGCATATGCATCGGAACAGGCTGGTGGATAGCATCGTTCTGTCGCTCTGTCCGCTGCGAGCGCCCGGGGCGGAAGATGATGTGAGGTATCACTTTTGGCGCTGGCTCGCAGATTGCCGGACCGTTCCTGCAGCAGACCTCGTAGCTATCTGTCAGTTTTCCTGCGACACAGCTACGGCGATCCATGCTTAGTATTTGCGAAGATGTTCCGTTGGAAAGTATTGAGAGGAGGCATGGAAGCCCGGCCGCGGAGCTGGAGCAATTGAGCCAGGCCACCGTTGCCATCTTGCAACACCTTTCTGCTTTGAATGTTCAGTTTCCAGCTGAAGTGCCAGAGACTTGGACCACTGCGATGGAACAACTGCAAAGCATCAGATGGCCAGACCGTTTGTCTGGATTACAGTGCAGTAGTTTGCTGGCTGTGTTGTTGGAGAATCGGCCGCTACAGCGCAGAGGCCTGGCGCGTGTGGACCGGAATTGTGTTGTGGGGTCTGATGTTTGTTTGGCTTTTGTTCGGTCGCAAACATATATACTGTCTCCATCGAAAATATGTTGGACGCAAGGTTGGTGGCAGTTGGTGGATTGCTGGGATCGCGCAGATCCAGTGGATGTAGCAGAGCGACTGTGGAGCCTGGCCACATGTCATCAAGCTGGACCAGCAGTGGAGCCAGACAGTGGCTTCCAGGATCGAGAAGATGTTTTGGAGGTGGGTCGGCAGAAAGCGTGGGACTTTTGCAAGGTTTATGTGGACGTTTGGTTCGGAGAAACAGTTTCTGATTTGATTGGTTGTTCGTTCGCTTGTTTTTTCCCGTGTCTCTCTGCGCAGGCGGTCTTGGGCGCACTGAAGCACAAGCACAAGAGTCGTGGATATGATGAGGCAGACAAACTCTTGTTGCGCACTTTGACGCGGCGCTATGGCTGGGAAAGACATCTGGACGAGAGCACATCGTGCACGTGGATGGAAACCTTTGAAGCAGTCAAGAAGGCAGAGGATTGGTCTCGTTTTGCTTGGTTTCTGGTCGCGCACTTGTTGCACCCTGCTTGTCGTGAGAGTTTGCG